TGCATCCCGGTGCCCCTGTCCGGGCTCCGGCGGCCCGTTCGGGGTTCCCTCGCACCCCGGCTGCCTTGCGTCCGAGGGCGATCAAGGCACCCTTGCCTCCCCGTGTTTGAGTGCTGCAGAGGGCTGGCCCGTGCTTGGAGACAAGCCCTCGGACGCTCGCCCCAAGCCGCGTGCAGCGGCGCAGGCCAAGGAACGACCGTTACAGCAGTCGCTGGCGTGACAGATGAGTGCTGCACCGTGTCGGTGGCGACGGGTGCTACGGGAAGGTGGAGTGGGCAACGCGGGCTTGCATCCAAAACATCCGGAGGGTCCCTCCGGCGTGTGAAGCCTGCCTCGAGGACGTCCAACAGCACTTACACGGGGTGTCGGCGTGTACCTCATCCCAGGCGGCCGTCTGCCGCAACCCCGGTGTACCGTGGCTCCCTTGTGTACTGAGACCACAAAACTCATAGCAGGCGTTAGCTGCACCCCGTCGTGGCACCGCACTGGCAGTGGAGGATCCGCGCGAGCTCCTGACCAGCCGCCGTATCCCTGGATGCCGGTTCCGTAGCCCCCCCCGGCGGTGAGGGATCCGCGGGAGTTCAAGGTATTCTTGCATCCCGGTGCCCCTGCCCTCCTCGGCTCCGGCTGTCCGTTTGGGGTCTCCTCGCCCCCTTCCGGCCGTGCGTCCGCGGGCGTTCTAGGCACCCTCGCCTCCCCGTGCCCGAGTGCTGCAGAGGGCAGGCCCGTGCTAAGAGACGGCTCCCGCCTGCTCCCTGACGGACAGCGCATCGGATTCGTGACTGTAGAGGCCGCGGCCACCCTGGAAGCAAGAGAAATCAGCCCCGTGCCGTTGCAGTCGTGCACTCTGAAACGGAGAGGGTGGCAGCGGTGGGAGGCTGCCCTCTCTCGTTGCAGCAGGTACGGCCCCCCTGGACAACAACCCAACCATTAGCAGCCGTTAGCTGCATCCCTGGAGTTCGGGCCCAGGCTGCGGCCCTCCCTCTGTCCTCTAATCGCCCCCCCGTGGGCGCTCCGTCTTCTACCCACCCTGAGCAGCCGTTAGCTGCATCCCTGGAGTTCGGGCCCGGGCTTCGGCCACCACTCTCAACCCTGAGCAGCCGTTAGCTGCATCCCTGGATCTTGTTCCCGGGCTTCGGCCCTTCCCAATCCTCCCCTTCCTCTCCAGGCGGTCTTGGTGGCCCCCTCCGCCTGGAGGGCCCGTGATGTCTGTCCCCACCGGCCCTCCCAGCGGATCCCCACCTGGCAGGGCGGGCTGCCTGGTTCACGTACCCCTGGATCGCGGGGGTGATCGCTTCCAGTGCAGCTCCTCCCTGGATTCCCCTGCCACGCTGGCGATGTTCATCCCCGCCAGCCTGGCCTCTCACATGCAGTGCACCATTGGCTGGGGCCTGGCCCTCAGGGTACACCACAGGGCCAGCGCCCCACGTGCACGGGATGGTGAGCCGTGGAGCCCGTGAACACTTCGGAGTGGTTCAGCCTTCCGGCAGTCGCGGCCACGGGATGGTGGACCTTGGAGCCTTGTGGACACTTCGGAGTGGTTCAGCCTTTCGCAGTCGCGGCAGCTCCCCTGGACCCATCCCATCCACCAGGCAGGTTTGCGACGTTACCTCGGCAGCTCAGCCCTCCTAGCTTGCATACGCCGTTCGGACGGCCCTGGGCCTGGCGCCCCACTGTCGACTCGTCCATCGTTCACCTCGCCTGAGCGCCTACCAGGCACGTGGGACACGTAGGCATCTGCGCACACGTTCTCGCGCTGTCTGAGTGGGTTATGCCTCACGGCATACACCGAATTTCCTGGCATTTTGCTAGGCTGCACGTGCCTGAGCTTCCCTGGATGCCCTCAGCCCGTCAGTTTTCCCGCGCAGCCCCGCTGCTGCTTGTTGAGTGGGCCGGCCGGCCTGCGGCGCGTTCAGTAGCTATTTAGGCCGTTACCGTGTCCCGGAACGCTTCTGATTCCGCCTGCGCTTTCGCTTGTGGACGCGACCGAAAAGTATCCCCACCAGCCCATCCAGAAACGATGTCCAGGCGAGTTGAGGTGATCAGGGAAGTGCGGGAGCAAAGAGGGGGACGGCCGAACCGTGTGAAGGAGGGAGGAGGAGAAGGAGGAGGCTGGATGGATGGATGGATGAGGAAGTGGAGAGAAGGATAATGAAACGGATGAGGAGGAGGAAGAGGAGGAAGAGGAGGAAGAGGAGGAGGATGAGGAGTAGAAGGAGTTCGAGGAGGAAGAAGTAGCAGGAGGAGGAGGGCAAGCAAAAGGGCCAGAGGTCTCTCGGATGCCTCTCGGGGCCTCTCGGTATGTCTCTCGGGCGCTTCTTGGTGGCCTCTTGGGACGTTTTGGGGGTCTCTTGGGGTCCTCTTGGGGGCTCTTGGGCGTCTTGGGTGCCTCGGGGGGGCCTCTTGGGGACGCTTGGGGTCCTCTTGGGGGCCTCCTGGGGCCATCTTGGAGGCCTCTTTGGGCCATCTTGGGGCCATCTTGGGGCCATCTTGGGGCCTCTTGGGGCCTCCTGGGCGCTTGTTGGGGCCATCTTGGAGGATATCGATCAAAGAAGAGGGGAGCTCCTTTTGGCGCTGGCCCCCCAAGAGGCCCAAAAATGTGCCAGAACCATCGTAACACCAATGATCTTGGCTTCCTCGCCGAGGCCGTCTTGGACAGCTCCCATGGGTCGCGGCACCGCCCGTCCAGGTCCAGGGAGGGGGTCGGGGGGAGGGGTAAACCCATTCACGAAGGGGAAGAAGGGGGTTGGAAGATGAGCCGCCCTAGACCACCTACGCCCAGAAGGCTGGTGGGACTCCAAGTGCCCAGTCCTCCTCCCTCCCAGGCCCAGGGGAGGGGGTAGGGGGAGGGGTCAAGTCACCCCCTCCCCGCCCGCAAGCCGTCTCGCTCACTCCCACCCGCCCTCCCAACACATACGTAGCACCCGAGTCTGGCCCGAGCCTCAGCATATTCAGCAGTAGTCTTTGGATGGGCAGCTACTGGGGGCCAATCCGCCGCCGCCGCCGCCGCCTCCGCCGCCGCCGCCGCCGCCGCCGCCGCTGCCCGCCGCCGCCGCCCCCGCCGCGCCGCCGCCGCCGCCGCCGCCGCCGCCTGCCGCCGCCGCCGCCGCCGCCCCGCTGCTTAACCGCCGCCGCAGCCGCAGCCGCTGCCGCCACCGCCGCCGCCGCCGCGCAGCCGCCGCCGCCGCCGCCGTCGCCGCGCCGCCGCCGCAGCAGCCGCCGCAGCCGCCGCCGCCGCCGCAGCCGCCGCAGCCGCCGCCGCCGCCGAGTGTACTCTGTATTGTTTTTTGATAGGGATGGTGGGGGGGGCCGCATCGGGTTGGCTGCGCATGTTCCGAATTTGATGGCAAAGTGTGGTTTGTATTGTTTTTTTACAAGGGATGGTGGGGGGGGGGTCGGCATGGACTCGGGTTGGCCCCCAGTCGCCTGGGGGAGGGGGTGTTTATTAATAGGGAACAGTGATCAAGACACCCTCCCCCCGCCCGCAAGCCGTCTCGCTCACGCCCACCCGCCCTCCCAACACACATCAGTAGCACCCAAGCCACGGCATGTTCAGCGGCAGTCTTTGGATGAGCAGCCAGTGGGATCCAGAACGGACCCCACGTGCGCAACGCTGGGGCGAGGTGCGCCCGGCGTGCCAGGCGCGCCGCGCGCGCCCGGTGCGCCAGGCACCCCGGTGGCCCGAGCGTGCCGGGCACGCCTGGTGCGCCAGGTGCGCCACGTGATCCACGTGCCCCGTGTGCGCCGCATGTCTCAGGCGCGCCAGGTTCAGGAGTGGAAAAACACACGGACACAATGAATCGTCGATTCCCAAGAAAAGATCGGAAAACATGGGAAGTGGGGGGGAAGACAGAAAAACAAAATAT